TTTGTGTGATACCTCATTAGACCTTAAGTTGGATACCTCATTAGACAGGGTTTCCTGTAGTGTGTCCCTCTATAGACGGGTTTCCTCAAAAAGGGGTTTCCCTGTAGTGTGATACCTCTATAGACAGGGTTTCCTGTAGGACCGTGTGGATACCCATATAGACAGGGTTTCCTGGTAGTGTGAACTCATTAACAGGGTTCCTGTAGGACCTGTAGTGTGATACCTCATATAGACAGGGTTTCCTGTAGGACCCTTTGAGGTTTTCCTGTATTGATCCCTCAATAGACAGGGTTTTTGGCCTGTAGTGATACTCTATAGACAGGGTTCCTGTAGTGTGAACCTCATTAGACAGGTTTCCTGTAGACCTGTAGGTAAACTCATTGACAGGGTTTCTGTAGTGTGATCCCTCATTAGACGGTTTCCGTAGACCTTAGTGTGATACCTCATATAGACAGGGTTCCTGTAGGACCTGTAGTGTGATACCTCATAGAGACAGGTTTTCCTGTAGGACCTGTAGTGTGATACCTCATATAGACAGGGTTTCCTGTAGTGTGATACCTCATATGTAAGGGTTTTGTATTATCCTCATATATAGACAGGGTTTCCTGTAGTGTGATACCTCATATAGACAGGGTTTCCTGTAGGCCTGTAGTGTGATACCTCATATAGACAGGGTTTCCTGTAGGACCTGTAGTGTGATACCTCATATAGACAGGGTTTCCTGTAGGACCTGTAGTGTGATACCTCATATAGACAGGGTTTCCTGGACCTGTAGTGTGATACCTCATATAGACAGGGTTTCCTGTAGGACCTGTAGTGTGATACCTCATATAGACAGGGTTTCCTGTAGTGTGATACCTCATATAGACAGGGTTTCCTGCTGTAGTGTATACCTCATAGGACAGGGTTTCTGTAGCCTGTAGTGTGATACCTCATATAGACAGGGTTTCCTGTAGGACCTGTAGTGTGATACCTCATATAGACAGGGTTTCCTGTAGCCTGAGTAGTGTGATACCTCATATAGACAGGGTTTCCTGTAGTGTGATACCTCATATAGACAGGGTTTCCTGTAGGACCTGTAGTGTGATACCTCATATAGACAGGGTTTCCTGTAGTGTGATACCTCATATAGACAGGGTTTCCTGTAGTGTGATACCTCATATAGACAGGGTTTCCTGTAGGCCCTGTAGTGTGATACCTCATATAGACAGGGTTTCCTGTAGTGTGATACCTCATATAGACAGGGTTTCCTGTAGTGTGATACCTCATATAGACAGGGTTTCCTGTAGTGTGATACCTCATATAGACAGGGTTTCCTGTTGGACCTGAGTGTGATACCTCATATAGACAGGGTTCTTCCTGTAGGACCCTGTAAGTTGTGATACCTCATATAGACAGTGTGAGTTTCCTGTAGGCCCTGTAGTGTGATACCTCATATAGACAGGTTTCCTGTATACCTGTAGTGTGATACCTCATATAGACAGGTTTCCTGTAAGTGGTTGATACCCTCATATACCAGGGTTTCCTGTAGCCCTGTAGTGTGATACCTCATATAGCCAGGGTTTTCCTGTAGGACCTGTATAGGGGGGGGGGGGGGAAATAGGTGGGGGGGTGGGGGATACCATCATATAGAGACAGGGTTTCTGTATGCCCTGGGTTCGTTTTGTGATACCAACCCTCCCCCAATAGAAGAAAGGGAAGCAGCAGATAGCAAGCGAAGGGGGATGGAGAGGAAAGGTCTAGAGCAATATCCATTGTTTCCTTTAGGGCCCTGTAGTGTGATACCTCATATAGACAGGGTTTTCCTCCGTCGGACCTTTATGTGATACCATCAAGAGACAGGGTTTCCTGTAGTGTGATACCTCTATATAGACATAGACAGGGTTTTCCTGTAGTGTGATACCTCATATAGACAGGGTTTCCTGTAGTGTGATACCTCATATAGACAGGGTTTCCTGAGACAGTGTAGAGCCCACCCACCCATCCTTTCTTAAACCCCTCTGGGTTAATGGCCTTGGGATTCCCTATGAGCCAGCATTTATCTGGCGGGCAGCCAGGCCTTTCTTAGAAATATATCAAATGATCAAATAAACTTGTCCTAAGCATTATGGAATTACGTTTTTGTCAAATTTTAAAATCTTTAAAATCAAAGCTAATCAAAGTATTTTTTTCCAGCAAATGCAAACAGAAAGACGTTCAAGTCCAGCCTTACACCAGGGTGGTACTACCTCGGGAGGAAGATGGTGAGAGGAACGCTTTAGATTCAGGCTGAACTTTTTATATGTAGTAAAAAATAGATACAACTCATAGTCTGATATGATTGATCACTACTCTATTTTGTCTGGCTGCAGGATACGGCTGACTTTGAGTGGGTGATGTGGTTCTCTACATTCCGGGACCACATCCTCTTCGCCCTGTCTGGTCACGTGATCTTCGCTAAGATCTGCTCCATGCTGGCTCCACAGGTGGGTTTACATCTGCAACACTCTGTCCAAAATGGTCGAATGGTCAAATATATATCCATATGTTTAAATATATACAGTACATAAAGATCTATCCATAGACTTTGCTCTGTGTATGCTTGTGACCTTCGAGAAAAGAGAAAACAGCTTCTAATTGGTGCAACACATCACATTGACAATATGATCAATGACATTTATGTCCATCTTCTGAATGAATCAACTACACCCAATATCATTATGTACCCAGAGGACTGAATCAAGGACAGCCTGTCTGTCTGTCCACAGCATAGGTCCCGGATGTACATGTTCATTCATTCATTCATTAATTAATTCATTCATTCATTCATTCATTCATTCATTCATTCATTCAGTCTGTCTGTTTGTCTGTCTGTCTGTCTCTCTGTCTGTCCACAGCATAGGTCCCTGGTGTACATGTTGACTCTTTCTCTCTGTCTGTCCACAGCATAGGTCCCTGGTGTACATGGGTTATGGTATCCTGGCGGTGCTGGTCTCTATGGGTTGGACCTTCACCACTCTGATCCTGTCCCACTGTGTACTGCTCTACAGTATCTCTCTGGTTAAACTGCGCTGGCTCTGCTTCCTAGCTGGACTCACCATCCTGTCCACATTCAAGATGGAACCATTCATATCCTGGCAGGTATGAAGAATACACTACTATACTATGTTACTGCTATTCATTACTACTGGGCGGCAGGTAGCCGGTGGTAAGAGAGGAGAGCCAGCAACTGGAGGGGAACAATCTGACGGGAAGTGAGCTGACAACCGGAGGGTTGCTGGTATCAAATCCTAGATGCCATCGCCTTCCGTTGTGCCCTTGAGTAAAGCACTGAACCCCCCACAACAACAGCTCCCGGGCGCCCAGTGTGGCAGCCCCCCGCACCGCTCCTAAAAATGTGTATATGTGTGTCTTTCGGAGAGGTTGGGTTAAAAGTGGAAGTCAAATTTCGGTTGGATCTTGTGTGCAATTTATCAACAAACTATTATACTATTACTCTATAGCTACTATACTATTACTATACTATTAATATAATACTATACTACCACTATGCTATTAGTATACTGCTACTATACTGCTACTATACCATTACTATACCATTACTATGCTATTACTATACTATTACAGAACTATTAATATAATACTATACTACCACCAAACTATTAGTAACTGCACTATACTATACAAGAACTAAATTTAAAATAATACTTAAACTACCAATATACTATTAAGTATCTGCAACATATAACTATTCAGAACTATTATAAATAAGATACTACCACTAACTATTACTAATACTGCTACTAACATTACTGTATATTAATATATAATACTTATACTACTACTAAAACTATTATATACTCTACTATACTGCTACTATACTAGTACCTAACCATCACTATGCTATTACTATACTATTACAAAAACTTACTATATTACTATCTACCACTATACTATTAGTATACTGCTACTATACATTACAGAACTATTAAAAATACTATAACTAACACTATAATACATTAGTATACTGTACTATCTATACAGAATTATTAATATAATACATACTACCACTAAAAACTACTTAGTAAAAAACTGCTGCTAACATTACAGAACTATTAATATAATACTATACTACCACAACTATTAGTATAACGCTATAACTATAACGATTACAATAACTATTAAATATAATACTAATACTACCACTATAAACTATTAGTATACTGGCTACTATAACTATTACTGTACTATTAAAAATAAACCTAGACTACCACTATACTATTAGTATACTTGCTAATATAAACTATTACAAGAACTATTAAATATAATACTAATACTACCACTAGACTATTAGTATACTGCCTACCATGACGTATTACAGAACTATTAATATAAATACTATACTACCACTATACTATTAGTATAACTGCTACTATACCTATTACTGTACGATTAATATAATACTATACTACCACTATCACTAATAGTAGACTGCTACTATACTATTACAGAACTATTAAGATATACTATACTACCACTATACTATTAGTATACTGCTACCATACTATTACAGAACTATTAATATAATACTATACTACCACTATACTATTAGTATACTGCTACTATACTATTACTGTACTATTAATATAATACTATACTACCACTATACTATTAGTATACTGCTACTATACTATTACTATACTATTAATATAATACTATACTACCACTATACTATTAGTATACTGCTACTATACTATTACTGTACTATTAATATAATACTATACTACCACTATACTATTAGTATACTGCTACTATACTATTACATAACTATTAATATAATACTATACTACCACTATACTATTAGTATACTGCTACTATACTATTACATAACTATTAATATAATACTATACTACCACTATACTATTAGTATACTGCTACTATACTACCACTATATTATTACTATACTGCTACTATACTACCACTATACTATTACTATACCATTACTATGCTATTACAGAACTATTACTATATTACTATACTACCACTATACTATTACTATACTGCTACTATACTATTAATATAATACTATACTACCACTATGCTATTACTATCAGAGCATATGAGCGGAGTGGAGCGGTGAGAATCTCAGCTCCTCGCTCACGGAGCTGTTCCCCCCTCTGCTCCCCCCGCTCAAAGCCACATCAGGCCAGTCCGCTCATTATCGCTCAGCGCTCACGGAGCTGTTCACCCCTCCGCTCCCCCCGCTCAAAGCCACATCAGGCCAGTCCGCTCATTATCGCTCAGCGCTCAACGCAGTTTGCATCGCGCTCCACTCAAATCACTCCAAAAAAGGAACAAAATCTGCATGTATTTCACTTTTAGCTTAAACCACAGCCTTACTTTATCTCCCCGAATTTGTTGCATACAGGCTCATCTCGGATTATCCATTCTGTCTTGAAACGGGGATCTAACACTGACGCTAAAATGAGATGTTAATCAGTATAGTATATTCCATAGCGAATTGACACGTTGTTTGCCAATGTTTCTGCAAAAGCAGCGATGCCCATTGGAAGTGCAGCGTGAGTGTAATCGGTGAGCAGGGATTTGATTTCTGTGACAGCAGGGAGGATCATCCCCAGGTTCCCCAGCTCCTTCTGCATTTTGTCTGTGAGATCTGCTAGTGGTGTCAGCACACTGACAAGGTGCGTCAGCTGCCGTACTTGATTCAGGGTGATGTTAGCAACATTAGACTTGAGTTTGTTTTGGCCATAACGGGTCTTTTTGGAACAACCGGATGAACGACTGAATCATCCGCAGCTGGCTGCTCCATCGAATGGCGCAGGCATTTGTGGGGCGGACACCTAATTGGTCGGTTTCCTCTGTGCTCTTGCGTACACTTTTCACCAGGTGCCCGACTTTCACTAACAGCCTATTAATGTTGTCGTGCTCGTTAAAGGCGTTTTTGATCGCCAGCTGAAGCATGTGTGGGGCATCTCAGATGTAAATTTGACATAGTAAAGTACTGATTTATCATAGTTTCTTGGGGGGGTGTAGCCCGGTTGAGCTGCGCTGGCGAAGTGTTGCATCCCTTCGCGTTCTCCTTTACTCAGCGGTTCATAGTCCATGAAAATCATTTTTTAAAATGCTACATCCAGCTCTCTTTTTCTCTCCCTTGTTATGGTTGGGCCTTTGCGTGCAGTGAATAAACTTTTGAATTCCTCAACCCTTTTCTCTTGTTGCTGCTGCTGCTCCTCTCGCTCTATAAAATACAAATTCATGGACGACACAAATTAAATTAAACAGATGGATTCTGGGTCAGGCTTGAGCATGCTTCAGACTCGTGGTGTGAGCGAGCGAAATTGGAGCGGGACATAGGGCGACGCTCCGTCCTTTTAAAAATGCCGCTCTGCGCTCTGTTCAAAATCCGTCCGCTCACGCTCCACGCTCGCTCCCGCTCCACTCCGCTCATATGCTCTGATTACTATAAGGCTACTATACTATTAATGTACTATTAATATATTACTATACTGCCACTATACTATTACTATACTGCTACTATACTATTACTATACTACCACTATACTATTAATATATTACTATACTGCCACTATACTATTACTATACTGCTACTATACTATTACTATACTGCCACTATACTATAACTATACTGCTACTATACTATTACTATACTAACTACTATACTATTACACTATACTATTAACTATACTAACACTTAGATATATACTACCACTTACTATTAACTATACTGCTACTATACTTTTACTATACTACCACTATACTACTACTATACTGCTACTATGCTATTAATATACTACCACTATACTGTTACTACACTACCACTATACTATTACCATAATACCACTATACTATTACTATACTACCACTATACTATTACCATACTACCACCGCTATACTATTTACTATACTACCACTATACTATTACTATACTACCACATACTATAACTATACCACTACTATACTATTACTATACTACCACTATGCTATTACTATACTATTACTATACTACCACTATACCATTACTATACTGTTACTACACTGCCACTATACTATTACCATAATACCACTATACTATTACTATACTACCACTATACTATTACCATACTACCGCTATACTATTACTATACTACCACTATACTATTACTATACTACCACTATACTATAACTATACCACTACTATACTATTACTATACTACCGCTATACTATTACTATACTATTACTATACTACCACTATACCATTACTATGCTGTTACTATACTACCACTATACTATTACTATACTATTACTATACTGCCACTATACTATTACTGTACTACCACTATACTATTACTATACTGCTACTATACTATTACTATACTACCACTATACTATTACCATACTACCACTATACTATTACTATACTGCTACTATACTATTACTATACTGCCACTATATTATTACCATACTACCACTATACTATTACTACACTGCTACTATACTATTACTATACTACCACTATACTATTACTATACTACCACTATGCTATTACTATACTACCACTATACTATTACTATACTACCGCTATACTATTACTATACTACCACGATACTATTACTATACTACCACTATACTATTACTATACTAACACTATACTATTACTATACTACCACTAAACTATTACTATACTACCACTATACTATTACTACACTGCTACTACTATGCTGCTATTACTAATTTTTATTTATTTTTTATTTTTAGGGGGTAGATCAACTTTAATTATGCAGATAGATTGTAACTTCCATCAATGTAATTGTCTGCATCACTTCCAATCCCCCATATATTTTTTTCACACAAATATATATACACTACCGGTCAAATGTTTTAGAACACCTACTAATTTTTACTATTTTCTACATTGTACTATGAAATAACACATATGGAATCATCTAGTAACCAAAAAAGTGTTAAACACTTAAAAAAGCCACCCTTTGCCTTGATGACAGCTTTGCACACCATTTCCGCAACCAGCTTCACCTGGAATGCTTTTCCAACAGTCTTGAAGGAGTTCCCACATATGCTGAGCACTTGTTGGCTGCTTTTCCTTCACTCTGCGGTTCGACTCATCCCA